TTTTCAACCCCATCGGGTATATTTTTACCGCATGTTTGCCATTCAACAGGTAACTTAATGTCTTAAAGGTAATAACCGTCCTAATATATGCTACATTAAACTACATAACCATATGTGACTATCATTTGCGTCATCCAGAATCCCACGTAGTGTAAACTCTAATGAATTACAAACTGTCGTAATCAAACTAGTGCTCACTTTTGCTTGGATCCAGGTGCTTCGTAAGCAGTATTGTAAAGAATGGCGCACAGCGATGCACACGGTATATGTCTTGCACTATAAATGTGCAAAGTACCTTCATCACCGAAGCAATATATTACAAGCTTTTAGTATCATTGAATAACCGCTGAAAATTTTCGACAAGACTAGTGAACCAGATAACTTCAATACCTCCGCAGGCAGGTTTTAGAATAAATTTCAAGTATAAAAATAAAAATACTGTTAGGTTATAAAACGTCAACGGTTAAGAAGTAGCCGTGTTGCGGTAAGGAAATTTGTGGTGAAGATATGATTGTTGTACATTTTGAGCCAACATTATCTATCCCTGGCACTAATATGCGTAGCAGTAAATAACGGGTGGCATAATATATTAGCCTGTGTCTGTCATACGGACCGTTACGGGGAACCATTGGCCATTTGCGCATGCTGATGAGTGCAAACCAAATCTAAGTAGTTACGGTGACAAGAAATTCATCAGGGATGCGTTTTACTGAAGAATACACGGGAAAAATAAATAACTCAAGCTATATTGATAAACCGATTTGCATAAAAACTCTATTGGGAGAAAATCCACTTAGTTGCTTCTAGCCTCGAGAATGCTTTTAAAAACTTATTTAAAGTTGTACATATATATGCCTATTGGTCTTTAAAAAAGTTGAAATTTTGGCCACACACGCTTGCCTGTCCAGCAAATCGTGTAAAGTAAATATACCTCCCGTATAAACGACATCAATTTTTATTGTGTATACACGTAAAAAACTAATAAAGAATTTAACTATTCAGCGCCTTAACAAAACACAATGCCATTAGGCATACAATAATTAAAAGTGTAATATTTGGCAGGTGCAGGGTACTAGATTCAATACAGATATCTAAGCGTAAAATTGCTGAAGGCCAGATTTCTGATATGGTTAAGGTTAGTATAACTAAAATAAAACATAGAATAAGGATAATTCAACTGTACACAAAAAGTCGGCCAACAATGTATTTTGAGTAAAATGCTCAAATAAGCTGCGGGTAAACATATGAGGAGACGCAATACTGCAGCAAATCCTTATGTTCAATATACATAATAAAGAATTGCTGCCGTCGCATTACCCAGAAACATGTAACCCCTGTAAAACCTACATTTATTTAATCCCTTAAATGGTCTGATCACCAGTTTTCGTTCGTCGCAAAATTTGCCTTGCTGCCGGTGCAATTTTAACTTTACCTATACACTGAATCGCGTGATTCGGCATACAAGAGCGCACTAGTTAGAGGACTTTGGGAAACTTTTTCACTTGGCTATCCAAAAATCATCACACATACAAATCGAAACTGTAAAATGCACCATCCATGCGCTGGAACATTTCTCGGATCTAAAATATAAGCGTTTCTCTGATGATTTTAATCAAAACTGAATTCGAAATGTCACATCAATATGTACCTCAGACTTTTCCGTATTAAGGCAATACTACTTTTCGGGTGCCAAATTATACCGATATATATAAACGTTGCGAAATGCTTGTTAGCTTTCTTTGTGTGGCACAATTATTAACACGTCAAAAGGAAATAAGCAGCTGACTGTAACTTGCTGTTGTAGCTAGCACCTGAAGTTAGTTGGATATCGCTTAGATAAAAGGGTCTTATTTCTGTTCGCCGATCGAAGCACGTGACTAAAATATTTACTACAAATCACTATATTATGTGGGTTTTATACAAGCTTTATAGTAATTGCTCGGATTATCTTCATATATGAACAGCCAAGCTTAGCATAAGAAAATACTTGAATATAGCAAAACATACTTTAAAGCACCATGGTTAGATACCATCTTGGGTTACCATATTGCTTAGATACTATGTTCCAGAAATAGTTCAGTGATTGATGTAACTAGCAGGTAGGTTAAAACAAATATGAAAAGTTAAGCATTCAAAACTATACATGTTTCTAAGTAAAAACCAGGCGATCTCGTATGTTTTTCTAGGTTGGCAAAGCATAGACTACAAGATAATTCTGCAGAAGTTAACGATGGAATATATACAGTTTTTTATAGTTACAGATGTGAAATTGTCAAGGAAGCTGTTTTGACTAATGGTGGAAGCAATTGCAGGGCGTCCGATCTGCTTCGCTAAGCTTAATTTGTAGTAATTGGCGATATATCACCTTATATTTAAAATATCCTGGCAGACCCAGATATTAAAGAAGTAAAATTTGCATTGCTAGCGGCAAATGTAGTTTAATTTGCAGGATACCCAGGACTAAATTGATTACATTTTGTACTTACTTTCGACAGCATTCCGGAACGCTGTCTCTGTCTTGCTTGTTGCCACATGCAAATGTTTACAATCCGTTTACGTTTTATAATGTGGTCAATGTATTACTGACGTGGGTCAGATTGTCTCGTAGTTGTAAATTTTGCTTCGCTATTTACACACATTTTATTGTAGACAAATGATTGGAAATAAAAAGAGTTCGCTAAACAGAAGTGCTACTCAATGTAATGTACTTAGTGCTAGGAACCATTTTAAAATGGTAATTAAATGGTGAAATGATTGGCCGATAAAACGTTCGGCTCATTCCTACAAATAAGAAGTATATTTGTATTTAGTACTAATGTGTGTCTCCATAGAAGCAGTTAAGAACACCTTGACTAATCTGCTAATTTAATCAAATAGGTATAAACAATTCCAAAAACCTATTAAGCTGGCCATTTTAACTTAACGTGTGACATTTTTGACCCACTCGTCAGACGTTTGTGCAAGGATTAGTTATCACCGACTTGGTTAACAGTTGTTACATCAGTGTTGTTTTCCATGACGAACTCTAACGCATGACATAACAAAGGTTTCTGGCGTGATTACACTTCTAGATAAACTTTAATTGCAAGTTGCTAACTTGCCTCTATGGTATATGGTTCAATAAAATGGATTCAATTATGTTGATGCTAAATGTCAAATTTATGGATTTAATGTAGAAAAGGAAGAGGACATTTACACATGACTGCAGTATACTTAGCGTACCATGGATGCGGAATGAAGTCTGTTGAATTTCCTTAAAACCGGACACATTCTATACACACAGTTTTCGGTTTTATTTCGACCCGGCACAATAAAACACAACAAAGCAAATATATCCGGCTTGGTAAGTAAAAATATACGTTACACACTTAATGTAATTTTAACTTGTTCTAAGTTTCCGTCACTGCAGAGCTTTTTATCTAGGCGCTATGCGCAGATGGCTCTGTTTTACTTGATTTTAATAAGTAAATTCTGCAAAGAGCTGGAAAGTGAAGTTTGAGTTGGGTGCCGTCTGTGATAAGATACAAATTCTTGCTGTCATTAGGTTAAAAACCAGTTTTTAATTTAATTTATCTTAAAACATTCGCAAAATGCTAATAAAACCAAGTTATGACAAAAGATTTCTTATAGTAATCAATACTTGCAACCCATCGCTTTGAGCAAAAATTCGTTAACGTGTTGGTCACTGCTTCAAAGTCTTGTGACCAATCATCATTCTGCAAAATTAAATGGCTTGTCATTTATCCAAAGAATAAAACACAGTATATTAATTGCGAATAGTGAGCTGCCAGCCTTCCTTGATAACCATTTCTGTCATAGAAAGCAACAAGCTGTATTTGGCAGTATTAACCTAAAACATCCATCACTACCATCAGTTACTAAGTTACGTACACAGAAATATGCAGACCGTTACCATACCAATTGGTGCAAAAAGCAAGATATTGTAACTAATTGATCTGTTTTCTACACAACCATTATCAGCACGGCCGGAAAAGTGAGCAGTAAACAATAATCTGTGCGTACTTTTTATAGATCAAGGCAGTAAAGTAAATCTTGTTTTAAGCACTCCTGTAGTCTCAACCAAAGACTAGCAACAGTGGAGTTGCACTTCGTGCTCCGATGGAAATGCGTGGTCCGATGGAATGCCCACTGCTGACGATACGCGAAAGAATGGCAAGGCTGTAGATTGCACTTCCCGACTATTGATAGCTCTCTGTCTGAGTCTAGACGTGATGTATTTCCACCTGCTGCAATCAACTTCCATAATATTCCGTTGTAATTATTGGAAAAATGTTGCCCGATTTTAAATCAAACCTTTTCTGGTTTTATATCCTGGTCTACTTTACATATAAGCGAATAAAGTTCATGTTTCCTGGATACTACTTTAATGTTTATGGAATGATTGATTTATAATCGTTGCAATTTTTATGCGGCCAAGATGAATTATCCAAAGGGTAGTAACACGTCGAAAATCTACAATATAAAATGACAGCATGGTTTTTCCGGTTAATGACAGCTGAATTTCAACACATACCATTTAAACGTACTGAGGTATTCATAGAAATCTTAACCGGCCGTATGGAATTCAAAACATTTTCTTACCAATGACAGCGTGTGCTACTTTTTGTTTTAAATGTCAACAAATTTAAGATAGGTAAGTTATTTAACCAGCATTTGGAAATGTGCTTCACAGAGTTAGCGGATCCGCATATCATCACTATTTTTGGTCTTTTTTATATCTCTTGCTTGACCTGAAATGCCAATGCATGATGAGATCCGTGGAGCCCTTTGTAAGAATTAACATGGTTGTTGTAGCTAAAAATTGGGCCCTAAAACAAAAAGCGACTTATATAAACTAATAATATGTTGTAAACAGATACTTCTTTGAATCTTGCGCAACTTCGTGTCAGCAGGTTTATCACTGTAATTTCATAGAAAATGAGCAAATTTTTAACTTTACCAGAAGATAACGTGATAGCGTCACTGGATGTATTACTTACGCTAGATTTCTCCTTTGATTCCCAGTTGTTCTTTTCCTCCTTGTTAACCAAACTGCTCGTTTTAGCTGCATTCTTGAAAGAATTGCCCAACTGCGGAATACCTGGTGTGTCGCCCGTAAAAGTGCTTAGAGCCATTTCTGATGGACCTTGGTCCGCATTGCTAGAAGACTGAAATCCTCTTGTAGATATATCAGTGAAGGGTGCAATTGCTTGAGTGTTAATTTGATTCATCTCGGGATCAGCTGAGCTGGCCCAGCTAATTGCGCTTGCAGAAGAATCGTATGAGTCGAAGGAAGGCGGTTGCGAACTGCGACTAACTCTCAGTGCGGATGATCGTCCACTACTAGCCGGATCCGTCACACCAAGGAGCTTCGTGTTATTTTCACATTGATCACGTAGCTTCCGTGAATCCATTGTTTGATTATGTAGGTCTGTGCTTGACGCTTCCCATGTGTCTCTACTTATTGGCTTTATTTGATCTTTTACGTTGTACCAAGAAACAGCTGGGTTAACCATGTTTCTTGGTGAGAACCGACCCGTGGATTTATCTCTGTGTAAACTGCCGTCCATTGTCATTGAGCTCTGGCGTTTTAATGGAGCGCTAGAATGCGAAATAGCAGTCCCTTTTGACAAATGTTACATAGATGGACACGTAGTGTTGAGCAAGGACGTACTCTCCAATTTATCTCATTATCCTAATTAGTAGTTCCGACTAGTTCGTGCGACACAGCGCCCATCCACGACCAGCCAAATGTGTAATTAGTTTTGACCATAAAACTGCAAACAACTAGACCGTTTACATGTGGCCGCGATTGGTTCTTCTTACCATAACATCTGTACTCCGATTGGTCAACAATTTTTGACGATTTGCAACAGTCTGGAACGGTGGAACAAAGATGTGACCCTGCTATGTAGAAGGATCTAGATACAACTTAGGAATATAATGTTTGTTGCTAAGCACTTGGGGTAGGAAAAGTGATAATTGGCTACCGTTATCTTCCTTAGATTGAGAACAAAGAGCTAGCCATTTGTAACTCCATTGTAGAAGTCAGTTAGCGGAATCGTTGAAGAAGAAATAAAAGCGGTGAAGTACTGACTTCGGTATCTCTGCAGTGATGTCCAGATGACAGTCAATAAAGTGCGTTGCTGTTGTTAAAAAGCATAAATTTTATAACTTATCAATCAAGTAACCAGGTTTCGATAGTGCTGATTCTATAGTACATCTAAACAAATAAGCGTTCCTTTAAGTTAGAATAACGTGCTTACATATCAGTTAATTTATTTGTTAATTGAGCCCTTCTTAAGCATGATATATCGTTTAAAAATGTTCATCACAAATCGTACTTGCACTCTCAGTGCGCAAAACATCAAAACACCTAGTAAACATTTTGATAGATGAGTAGGAGCTTCTTATAATAAAACATATTATTATAGATCAAGATTATTCGGTTTTCATGGCTAGCACAACTGTACAAATTAAAAGTTATCCACTGATTCTACATAGAACATTTATTCAATTTTATCTATATGCACAAAATTAAAAGCTGGTTTAACACCATACTTAGCAAATTACTGCTAGAAGTTCCTAAAACGTCTACACTTTAGTCACCACTAGATTGTGTTGGTTAGATATGTTTGGAAAAAAGGAAAAAATATCTCTGAGGTCGTAAGTATGATAACAGTCATTATTAGACTCAGAAGTCCTTATTAGAATAACTTCTTTTTATCAACATTAGTGTTTCTGTTGTTTGCTGAGGTAAATTTTATACATTTATACAGCTTTTAATTAAATGAGCCTCCCAAAATTCCTTACAAAATTTGGGCGTTTGTATGTCTGGCGAAAGCAACGCTGAGTTGCTTTCGCTTTGTCACCAAACTAGGTCAAAGCATTGCTTTGTAATACAAAGTTTACATTAAGTGATTTTCAGTGAGCATTTTGACTAGGTCATTTAGCTCCTTCAGTTGACAAATTTGACTGAATTGGTGCTGTAATGCAATTTGTAACAGTGTTACCTATTGAAAACCTGGATATATGACGTGTTTTAAAGACATTTTCATCGAAAACGGCACTCATAGTCTTCATTCTTTTACGTGGCTTACATTTATCATAGTGCCTCACATGCACATTTTTACTTTGTTTCCCAAGAAGTCATCCACTAGCTCGCTTACAAATTGATAAACTACCTTATCTAAAGTATGAGTGAGTGGTATCATGTTAACGATTGAAATGATAAAAGCAACCAACTTAAACTTGATGGCTATTGTGAAGCTTATATTAAATGATTAGTACCTTATGTCTCTGAATAACAGTGTTTGCAGTGCTTTTAACGTCTGGGCAGTCTGGCGAATTGTGGCCTTCGTAAAGTTAACGTCTGCACGTCACCTGTCCTGACTATGCAGATATATCTCTGCTGCAGCAGCGTAAATGAAAAATGGAACAATAAATTTATAGTTTATAAGGGTTAAAAAACCAATGCTTAGCAAATCCCATAGAGTGAAATTTATTTCGAAGATAAATGTTCATGATAAAGTGAAAAACAGTTCTGTGGACTCACTAAAGACTTATGTAGAGGAGCAGAGGTATTCGCGAGTTAAAAGTATAAGTCTCCAAAACCATTGTTTGGGATTTTGGAAACACAAAATTTGATTGCGTTTGTAGCCCCTGCCTAACAAGTTAGAACATAAAATACAAATGGGACAACGCTTCATCGCGTCGATTTATAAATGTCACTTAATTGGGAACAGAGAAGTTATGTTTTCTATTTTGTGAGTGTTCCACGACTGACACTCAGAGGGAAAAGGAATTTGTACCCTATTCCCGCCAGTTATACTGCATTGTCAGTTTCAGGGGATGCGCCCTTAGGTTGGTATTGTGGTTCAATTGCAGCCGTGGGCGGCAAGTGTTGTTTGGTTCGTTAGAATCTGGTAAAGCATTATGTGATCCCATGCAAATGCCGATATCAACGGCTGTACATTCTTCGCGACTTATCTAAAATGATAGGGCAGATATAAGAGGCCCCTGAGGTTCTAGGTTGCCCACGGTTTTGCAGTTTCGAGGGCAACGACATCCTGTTTCTGCACACGTGTCACTTCTTGAAGGCATATTTCACTTGCGGTCGTATCTAGGCGTTAATTATTTGGCAGAAGTTTAAGGGGTCAAGCGGACCGAAGGCTTTGCGAAGAAGGCTGGAGTGATGATTGCAGTTTTTCAACGCCTGCTCTACTTGTTTGGAGCATTCGAGATCTTCTTGTACCAGCACACTCAGGGCACGCTCCGTTAAGCCTTTTGCAACGTGTGGTCTCCCAGCATGTACATTGGCCTTTGACACAGAGGGTTCACCTGACACTCAGCTGCGTTCAACTGTAGGTTTCTCGTTAAAATTAATAAATGCTACTAGTTCCTATTGGATCTCACCGTGCTCCTTGTTATTAATTGTCCGTCCATCTTGACATCCTCGACGAAAAGCAGGAAATTGGAGGAGACAAGTTTTACCAGTTTGTTGCTAAATACAAGGAACAGACGCAGTCATAGGACCCAGCATTTTGAAACACAATAATGTTCCTAAACCTGATTATTGTGTGATCCACTGACACACACCTGAATCCTCCGTTCTTGATGACATTTGGCAATCAAACTAAAAAAGGATCTCCAATTCCATAGCTCTGCATTTTATGAAGATGGATGCGGTGAACCAAAAGGTCCAAAGAATTGAAGAAGTCCAGATAGATCACGTCGTCTCTGATCTCATCCTCGGCCACTTTCGCCAACTACCTCCAGCCATCAGCAGATTGGTGGAGCGTAATCGGTATTGAGGGAAGCCGTGCAGCTCCAATGCCAGGATGCTGTATTTTTTCTGTTAGTCCATCAGAGCCTCGCCGACGACCGTTTCTATCACCATCGAGGTTAAAGAGAGGTGAGTCACTAGGCGAAAGTTTGCAGGATCCGAACGACTACCATTTTTAAACATTGAGCTTATGACGCCATGTTTTCACATAGTGGGGACTTCCTTTTCATCTAAACACTTTGGAAGAAATGTGACACTGGTTTACTCAGCTTCCTAGTCACAGCCTTCGAAGCTTTTGGGCGGATCTTGTCTGCTCCCGGAGGGCCATAATCGCGTAGCGAGAGGGACTTCCTTAGAAAATTGCTGGATTGAAACTTATACATGCTGACCCTAGACTCGGTAATGTGCTTGACGTTAAGTGAGAAGTGGGGGCTTCAAATTCTAACATTAAGGCTTAATGTAGCCACATGTCTTTGGCTGCTTTTTGGTGCTTTTAAGACTACGGCCTGTTATGAAACTTAGAGCGGTGCCATGTTTTACTTTACATCTACCGTGAAATGCCTATAGAGTGTTTTGTTGTTTACCAGAAACACTGGCTGGGCACTGTTTATAAGTTGGTTTGTCCTCTCGGACGATTGAAATGCAATGGTTACGATAAGTCAGGAAATTTCTCGAAGTCTCTGAGTTACTTTTGAAGTTGTAGGCGCGCCATGCCGTACCCCATATCGCCATGCATTTTCGAGTCCTGCTTCTCAGAATGAAAGGCACCTTTGCGGATCAAAGGGGCTTGGTCTCTGATAGTCTATTGACCATAACACTGAGTCTTTCAAAGAACGCTGTACAAACGTTGTCATGGGGATTGTTGTTCGGGAATTCCCAAGCGGATGTACCTACAAATTCTTTAAAAGAATGGCTGCGTCTGAATGTATGTGTTAGTTTCGAGTATGTAGATGGATACTGTACAAAAGCACAGGTAGACCTTATTACTACATAGACGCTGAAACCTAATGGACTCTACATCAATAACTTATCAAACCTGGAGTGCTTGTTATCTCTATCTGATGGGAGGAAATAACCTCGAAACGCGTCATGGAGTGAGGTGTTTTCAGGCGGGCAACATCCAATTTTCTGCTGCTTCATAGTGTTATGTTGGGCTTCAGTGATCTTGTGGATAGCTTAATACCTGCTTAATTATCAATGCATTTTTATTGTATTAATATTGTATCTTGGTCGTTTGCGTAAGCATTTGCCCCTATTCCCTTTTGGACCGAATTCTCAGTTTTGATGATTGTTTGACAGACGTTGTGATGCATTAATATTTGTATACCCCCTATCTAATGCAAGAAGTATGCTTCAGATGCAGCAATCTATTCTATTCACTGTATATTTATACCTAGAGGCTCTGTGCAATCTTATTAAACAAACTAACATGTAACAAGCGAATAAAAACAGAAGCAGTTGCCCTGATAATAAATTAAAGTACTTCCGAACACTCCTAATATGTTCCAAGTTTTTCTTTTCTACCTGCTACCACCTTAATAATTGACGCTTTTTAGAAAAGCAGATATTACACCGCCGATTCAAGTTGGGATTATATGTTGTCCGTGCTCTACTTGACTAGGCTGTCTTCCGGCTCAACACGGATGCGCTTAATTAAAACTGGTAAAATGAAGGAACGGAAACCGTAAATTCAGATAAGAGCTGGAAGTAGGTTCGTTCCCAAGGTACGTCCTCTGCTATGGACTAATATAAGGGGATTCGCGGTGGAGCTTCGACCACCGGCTCGTAGAAAATTGAATCTATCAACTCGCAAAATAAAAAACATAGTACTTGAAACTGCAGCAGTTACAAAAATACTTATTGTCGCCAATAAATTTGAATATGATGCATGGGCAAATCGAGTGCATTGATAGTAACTAACGGTTAACTACGCATTTTACATTGGAAACATGGGATCGAACTTTTAAAACTAT